AAATATATTTTTGGACAGTGTCATAAACCTGGAGGACTCAACACTCAAAAACCTGTAACATGAAACCAGATGAAGAAGTAGGACGAAATTGAGTGTTATGGTGGGAATTAGCGAGCATAGTATCGAAAAGCAAACATCACCTAACGTTTACTGCACAACAGGAAAGTAAGGCCGACGGAATATATATATATATATAACACCGGCTTGTAGACCAGCATGGTGCCAACACCACAAAAATAAGAATAACGATAATAGGAGGCGGGTGGATTGGGATATAGAGCATAGTGGAGAGAAGCGGAGTAACACAGAAGAATCCATTTGAATGTCAAAATCAGCTGTTTGGTTCCAGTGTCGATTGATAAAGTCACATCAAATGACTAGAGAATACTTGTTTTTTTAATTTCCATAGTCTCAGGCGATACAAAACCCTAACTTGTAGATATGAGAAATTGACTGGACAGAAATGGTGATACAACCAGCAACCGAGTTTTTCAATCACAGAGATTAGTTAGTGGGATGCGCATGAATTGAATCTTAGAATTCGGAAAACATTCACTAACGTAATCCTAAAACAAAATTAAATGACCGAAGTTGACCTTTTGTGTCAAACCCGATATCTCAAAGCAATGTTCTTTCAGACACGCTTTAACGAGACCAAATAGGAGTGGTTACGGCAGCGTATCGGTGCGCAATTGAAACAACTGAGGATAGTGCGCTAGCGATGTATGAATGATAAGTGTTGATGCACTTTTCTAAGGCCACACAATATCGATTTCGGCAAAATCGTTATTTCATGTGTGTTTCGACGCTCAATTATTCTGCAATTTAATTTCAATACCATTTAGTGCGTGAATGGCGGAAGCATACGGGTGAAACGGTGAGAAGGTTTTTTTTAAGACACCACGGTACGAATTTGATTACACTTTGGATAGAAGTGAAATGCTAAGGCACTGAACGAAGACGAAAGAAATGCGAGAATAAGAAAGTCTGAAATATAACAAGCTCAAAAGTCAATTGGCAACTGCTAACTAACACTTTACACCATCTTCATCATCATCATCACCATCGAACAGCGAGATACAGTGAAGCGAACTTCACTGATCGCTGCCGAACTCATAATGCATATAAGGTAAATGAGAATGTGTAAGATCTATTTTGGAAAAAGGGAGAGATATTGAACCTCTAAGACCAACACAAAGAGTGCACAATCTAAATGTGCATACATAACTCTTCAAGCATTCTGACCTGATTAGAAATGACAACAAGAACGCCACGGCTGTTGGTTCGCTGCCATACCCTTCAATGAATTCAGCCAACAAGTTGCAGTCTTTTTGACCCCAATGTGAAGACGGGATACACCTATTCTACCTAGTCGTTCTGTGCACTTCTTCATGCCTCGTTTCCACATCATCTGTTGACCTCCGTATGGTTTCTTCCGGCTCGGAACGGCCACAGCGAAGAAAGCGAGGTGCGGCAGACGACAACTGGGCATGCGCAATCTAAATTCAATGAGACAGGAAGTTTCTCTCTGGTAAACACGACAGCTTACCTCCATATTATTAATCCGTTCGCTTCATAACACGTGCGATAAATTACGTAAACACCGATAATCGAAAACCTCTAGTCAATGGATATCTTCTACTCGCATGTTCCAGGTCTCACAACCATAAAGAAAGACCGTAAAAAGGTAGCAAAATATACATGACCTTTCAATTTCAGTGAAACGTCGCGTATACGCCAAAGGTGTTTCAGTCCTGTCTACGCTGCGTGAGCCTTGGAAATGCGGGCGGTTATCTCCTTTGCTGCGCTACCGTCATTGATCACACAACCACCCAAGTAGGAAAAGCAATCCATTATAAATAATTCCGGGCCATTTAGTTTTAAAGCAGGACTGGGCAGCACCAGTTTGCACTTTGTAAGTGCAAAGCACACACCGACTGTAGCAACAGCACTTGTTAGCCTATCAAGTGCGTTTTGCGCGTCCTCCACACATTCGAGCAAACAGTCGATGTCGTCGACGTACTCTAAATCCCACAGATTTTCTCCAGATGCCCATTCAATATCTACGTCTTGGAGACCACTAAGTGCGTTCTTTAGAATTTCGCGTACGACGAAATTGAACCAGGTATGCGAAAGAGGACACCCTTGACGAATGGCCTACTTCGTTTGCTGTGAACCCTCACTCAATCGGAGGTATGTGAGTACGCTGAACTCAGTAAGTTAACGCACTTATGGAGCATTTCTTTTTGAAAGGAACACATCAGAGCTTCACGGTCAACTGAGTCGAAGGCCACTTTCAGATCGAGGTACACCGTAATCATTGGTCGATGGTAGTTGTGGCATAAATCAAGGACGTGACGCAACGTATTAATTCGATCAACAAATCCACGGCCAGGCCGCAATCCAGCTAGCTGTTTACGGATGTTAGTCTCTCCCAAAGGAGGTAGATGTCGAAGTATGACCTAGGCCAACACTTTGGTGACGATTGCAAGATCCTTTTTTGAAAATGGTAACTATCGGTGATTCGCCCGAAGGCGAAGGAGTGCGCTCTTGAGTCCCAATGTTGTGCAGTAAGGTATTGATAGAGCTTACGAGGTTATCACACCCATCTTGAAGAGTCCAGAAAGGAGCCTGTACCGTCCTGCTGCCTTTCCTCACTTCAGAGTCTAAACGCAAGACCGAACTTCTGCTTCTGCTGGAGGATCGCACACCACTGCCCAAGGAGCTTCAGTTGTAGACGAAGTAACCTGATCAGCGGCAGGCCAACTGAACTGTTCACTAAAGTATTCTACCCAGCGATCAAGTCGGTGATCCCTATTGTGAACAGCTTATTCGCTTTTATAGCAGACTGTTTCGCTAACAGGAGTTCGCCGACCTCCCGTACTGCGTATCAGTAGGAACAGTCTTTGACTATTACCTGATGCAGCTGGCCCATTCCATTTCACTAGCTATTATTGCCCACCATTTTTCACGATCCTTCTTGAGGCCCTTCGTCAGCCGACGTTGCAGACGCCACCTAACCCTGTTTTGATCCTGGTAGGTAGAAATTTGTCGTTTTTGATCCATCAGTGCTACAGACTCATCAGATATCCAATGCCTCCGTCGGGCTTGAGGCTCAGACCCACAAGCAACATTCGCTATGGAATGCACTGCTCGCCGAATCTGATCCCACTGCTCGTCTACATCGCGATTAGCTCACGCACTAGCACTGATTCATAGGGTGCACGAACTGTATGAACAGACAGTTGATGATGAGCTATCCGAGTTTGCTGGTTTTGTCGCAGGCCAGTCAATCGAAGAGTGAATTCCATCAGAACTAATGCGTGGTCAGACTCAACGCAGCTGGACCCGCAATTTTGCAGTGATTCATGCCAAAAGTACCTTACCGCTATGTGGTCGATCTGAATTAGCGTACCAGTTGAACTGAAGCACCATGTTGCCGACTGTCGAGAGCTGTGTCGGAAGTTGGTACTGGATAGAAACAGATGATGGTTTACGCAGAACTGAAGAAGTCGATCACCGTTATCTGTTCGTTGGCAAGGTAGAGTACAAGTACCATCTAGGCAAGTTTTGATGCGCTCAGTTTTCCAACCTGCTTGTTCAAGTCAACTGCAAGTACAAATACGTTGGAGCTTCAACCCATTCGAATGAGTTCGGTGTGTTTATCGTAGAAATTTGTACATCAGAACTGCAAATAGTCGGTACATATGCCAACGCTGATTGAACCCTCGGGACGCATCGCACATAAACCGTTGTTGACGGGAAGCAAATCGATAAGAGAAGGCTCGATCCTGTTACTGAGTACAATACCTACCTCACGCTAACCTACTGAACGGGCTTCGTTGCCACCTGATGTGCGAAGAACGTACCTCGAGGAAAAATCTGGTGCGTCCAAGTGGCTTGCATTAATTGGATCCTGAATTCGAATCCCCATACACAGCAAATTTCGATCCCTAAGGATTCCATTGTACCCGCCGGACAATCTTGTTGATCTACCTGCATCTGAGTCCTCACGCTGAACACCCTCCAGATTCAGTGATTGACTAGGGTTCAGAATCTGCAATCCATCTCAAGGTAAATTACTTAGCACTATTTGGCAATGATCTTTGGTGAGCGGCATCTGTTATTTGAGGGACTATTACAGGTCGGAAGAAGCGGTTGGGTATAGAAGACAAAGAGTTAAGCAAAGGTTGAAAAATCTGAGCAATAGCCCACTTATCTCTACCACTCCGTTTGATGCAATGGGCAACGCCGTCCTGATTATCCTGCGCAACGACCGATGCAGTATGCGATTATTTTTAGTTTGTGCATGCCACAAAGCAGAACGATTTGGGGTTCTAATCCACATTCTTTAGTTCTGATAAGAACCTAACCGCAAGGCAGAGAGTGAAGCGAAGTGAAAGCCCATTTAGTTGGATCGATTACTCCTCCACCATTTTTTACCCAATGAAACGCAAATTCCAATCGAACCCCCAACCTGGAGGACCAGAAGACTGGACGCTATCTGACCCCTACCCCTCGACCTTTCAGGCACGATTAGATCTTCGGTTTGACCAAAGCCATTGTGTAGCTCGTTAGGTCAAAGAGCTGCACAAGCCATCACACCACGTCAAGATGCAGTCTCGTCATGATGATCCTCTTAATTAGCCACACAAACAGTAACACACGGTTGAAAGGCCAATGGTGGCGGAATTTGATCGACATACGAGAAGTTTTCAATTGTGCATGTAGATCAATACCGCGACCATTGGTTTTTCAACGGTGTTACTCGGTTGGCATGCCAATAGTCGCCAATGGTCAAATAACTTAGGGAGATGAGATTACATGACATGACACACAGAACCGATACACATCCGGTCGGATAGGAGAATACGGTCATACTTTTCTGGAACACTAGTCTTCATGACAAACTGATCCGCGCTAAACACCTGCATGGAAAATAAGACTCGTGGAATGAGCTTTTGACGTAGATGCAAGACTAACAAATAACTCAAACTCACCCAGGTTGTTCGCTGCTCGTTGTGGTTAATGAAAAATCGTCGCCCTCCAGGTGTACGAGCCATCTGCCAACCAGCTGGCAGCTCTTCTTCCCCCGGCTCGACCGAAATTATCATTACTGACCCAGTTTGGTCGGGGCTTGTGGCGGACTGGGACGTTCCCTCTGCTGCATCGGCATCTCGTGGAGGACTGACCTCTGTGGTTGGTGAACTGGTGTCAGTATTGCCGTTGACAGCAGTGGCTGCTTCAGAAACATCGATGGAAGGGATAGCATTCTCTTCTGTGATTTCATCACGGCGTGGAGTGAGAGTGCTTTGTTCACCTATCAGGCGGAATAGAGCCGAAATTAACCTTGAGGCTCACAGTTTGGTGTGCAGAGCATAGAAAACACTGGAAAGCACGTGCTCAAGTTAAACAAATCATGCAAACTAGCATAAAACAAGAATGGCGCCTTTGGTGATCACGGGGTCGATAGGCGGGCACGTGAATCCGGTGAAAATGTGAACCTGTGTGTTTGCGGTAGCTGTCATTCGAACTTACATATTATAGGTGACCGCAAATAACGGCAATCAGTAAATGACACGCGGGGTCGATAATAAATGATGAAAACAGTAAGATCAATGTCAAAAATGGCGAATTGCAGACACCAGAATTGTACAGAATACCGTTTCGGTAGTGTAATCTTTTGCGACAACGATAACTTAAACCATAAAAATTTGTTTAATGGGGAAAGATGCAGTAAAAACTGATATTTCTCAGATTTACAAACAAAAACGAACTTTACACGGCTAAAACCAGTCGAGATTAGGTGACGTAAGGCACGGAGGNTGTATCTGATGATAATATGAGTACTAGCACACACAAATATACAAGTGCTGAGATTAGGTGAACAGGAATCTTCGACTTATCTGGCCTCGTCTCAATAAACAATAAGGATCTGTTAAAGAAACTGAGCTCGTTGTCTTCATTTATCTGACGAACATGGCCTGCACATACGGTATTGGTATTTTCCATGTGTGACGAAATGCTGGGGGCTGGGTGATGTTCGAGGGAACCAGCCGGTAACTGAAGTTAAACAATCGATTTGTGTTTCACAGGACAGTTCAAAGAACCTAACGCAAGAATATCCTACAAATAAAATATAGAGGCCGTTTACTTCGAATGGTTGAACTTTAGAAGAATTTACCGCAACGAAAATGTGCGACTGCAAGTTTACCAAAACAACTTGTGATGATAATAGCTAAAAAGACGGATACGTGCGAATCAAACATTGCTGGAAAGAAAATTTCACGTATACGCTCTGATGAAACCCGGACGTTGCTTTCATAACTCATCAAACAGAACCACCGGCACTTGGAATGAGACTAACAAATTCACACACATGTGACTGTTAGATTGCAATCGCAAACCAGTGCAAATTTTGTAACTCAACTGTGATGCGAAGAGTCAGCATAACCTTTGGAGTTTGCCAATTTAAAAACAATATCGGTGAAATTACACAATGCTTATCAATCAAAATAAACACTCCATAGCATTGGTACACGACTCCGGCTGTCACCCATTGCTTATCCATTGCTTATCCATATTTGGTTCATGACCTCAAGCTCTTTACCTAGTTTGTCGGTTTTCATTGATTATAAATCATCGCTAGACGAATGGAACTCGCTCTCCAACAACGCGGAAGAGCTCATACAGCGCTGACTTTCGCTTTTCAGTCACCAGCCCATCGATGATCTTGTCTTTCGTTACAACTAATGGCTTTTTCCCAGGATCTCGCTATGCAGTCGCGACTCCATCACTAATCCAATCCTCAAGGAGGTGGCAAAATACCCCTGACAAGTGGCCGATCCAACTTCTCATTTGTTTTCTAAAGAACAGTGGCACATGCATTTTCTGACTACAGTGCTCTTAGTTTACCATCTCTCTGTTTTGAAACAGATATTAAACAAACTGTTTTAACAGAATTGTTTTGTACCATTCTCCGTTCCCACACCATGGTTTTTAAGATCAAGGGGAATTGCCTTGTTCATGTTCATCACATAATAAAACTGACTAAAACTTCCAGCTTTTCACGCTGATAAGAAATGATAAGAACACCACTGCTGTCGATTTGCTGCATGAAAAAACACCAGTCATATGAACTCACCAATGCGATCGCGCTAAAATAACAAGGGTGGGGAAAATGAAGGTAACATACTTGTGAATTGTTACACAAACGTTTTTTGTTTTCATACTCTACAATTTACAAACGACATGGAAATATTCATATTCAGTTAAGTGTTACTATAGGTTAAGCTAGGAATCCCAAATAAGCGTTGAAACCAGCCCACTGGTGAGTACAGCCCACTTTGGTTTTTACAATCAATAATCAGGCATTTTCATGCGCCGATTATGGTTGCTGTCTTTTGGCTGCACATTTGAATAAAAGAACAGAATGAAGATTGGAATGCTGATAGCAGATTCAAGGAGAATATAGAGAATTCATATACACTGATGTTGCAAGAATATTGAGCAGATGCACCAGCGCCACTGTTTACGACACTTTGCCATATCGCTCGGTGTCAATTACCACCGGTTACCATGATATCCGGGTCCCCATCCAGGGAGCCCAACGGTACATATGGGACCCAGTGTCCTGGTAAGGCTCCCGTACCCTCGTGTCAGGTCTTAGTTTGAACGACCTTAACCTTTTTCCATCCGCTATCTGCCTCGGAAAACATCGCTCGCCAATCTTGTAGCAGCATTTTACACTTTGAAGGTGAAAAATGCATACCGAATGTGGCTACACTAACACTCAAACTATCTAGAAACGTTTACAACTAACCTGGATCTTCATGTAGCAGTAAAATGTGGGCAACACACTCCACATCAGGCAATCTACAATCAGGGATCAAATCGAGAATTGAATCGATGACGAAGTTGAACAGAAACAGAGATAGGGGGAACCCTGACGAACACCACTTTCTGTAGTGAACTCGAGCGAAAAAGTGCCATAAGTTAGGAATCGGCTTCGGCGGTAAGTATAAACAGATCGCAAAATTGAAAATCACTTCCCGGGTACACCCTTCAGAGCGAGGCAGCGCCAGAATTCAGAGCAGTCGACTGAGTCCGAAGTCGCTTTCAGATCGAAATGGTGGGTCTACCAAAGAGACGTCTGTGTTCGAAAATTTGGCGAAGAGTGAAAACGCGGTTTATGCAGCCTTGATCAGGTTTGAACAGATGGAAAAGAGGGTCTTCCGAACGGGACCCAAGAATTTGGGGCACGACATACTGCGCGACAGCTCACACCGACTAATTGGCTTTTATTTGGGAACCCAGATCGGAGCTTTCGACTCACAAGTTTGACCCACAAGGCAGCAGGGCGTAGATAAAACGAGGGAGCATTACCGAAGCACCCATGTTGGAGCTTCCATAGACCCGCTACGTAAGGTCTTCGGGTGTCAGTTCAATGCGTTGTTTGCTTGTGCGTTGATTGTCGGTCCGCTGTTCGGGATCGACCCTTAGTCTCATGCACCCAATGGGACAAGCGGAAGGTGGACCGGACAGCACCTTATTCGATGGGGCTGCCCAGTTTGGGCGGGTGATAGCCGTCCAATGAATTGTGAAGGCTTCTCCCATAGTCGAGAGGAAGACCCAGGTACTTTACTCCTACGCCCATCTAACGGGGTTCTTGGCCAGTAAACTGCCCCTCACCGTATTCCCTTGCTGGATTAACTTATCCAGGAGTAAGTGCGGATAGACAAAGGAAGCCGGGTACCCAAGCAGCTAACTTTATAAGGCTAAGCTTGGTCTGGCCTCTGGCCATTGACCTTTCAGATATAGGATTTGCGGCTGTGATGAGCCATCTTGCAGAGCTTGCAGGGTCGTGCAGGAACGCAAGCCGTCACACCACGTCAATGTGCAATCTCGTCCTGATGGCCCACTGAAGAATAACTAAACGAATCTGTGGAGAAACCCGGAAACGGTTCTATCAGATGCCCCACCAATAATAATATGGATACGGGTGTGTAGTTTGGTGTGTCAGTTGTTGAATGCAACTATGAGTGCAAGGTGTGCGGAGAACAGAACAATTCTGGACAATAGATTAAAATGCCGCAATGCGCTCCTGATCGAGATGTTTTGGTGGCCACGAAATTGAAGCAATATAAAAGTTACCAAGCAAGATCCAGGATGATTCGGAAGTTTAAACAAGGGATAGAAAACAAAAAATCAATCCAAAGTAAATTTTGGGAAACGATAATAATCAGCCAAGTTGCGTATCAACTATACTGGAACCAAACAATTTTACAAATGATAATTATCATACCTGTCAAACCACCGACTGATTCCAACCAAACCTATACAACTAACGATTACACAAGTGTAGAATTTAGGAAACTATCCCTTGAAACCACGGAAGACAACACAAATAGCGACGGGGATAATGCCTTCCAAACGACTTACTCCCATTGTTTCAACCATGCTCCTCTGTCGAAATTAATTTACTAAATTTCAGATTTAGTTTTCAGTTTTTACAACCAATAACCATGCACTTTCGTGAGCTGATTTTGATTGCTGTCTTTTGGTGCTCCATTTGGATTAAAAGCAAAATGAAGACTGGAAAGCTGAAAGCAAATTCAAGCGGAAGATGGAGAATTTATATAGAATGGTGTTAGACGAATGATGAGTGGATGCACCAGCGCCACTGTTTGCGACACCCAGACATAATACTCAATGTGTCTAACAATCGATGACCATCATCTCAGGGTCCCCAGCCATGGAGCCTAGTCTCCGCGTTACGGTTTTCATACCCTTATGCTAGGTCTCGGCTTGACCACCCTTGGTTTTTTTCCAACCGCTACCTGCCTCAGCAAACATTGCTCGCCGTGGCAATCTATTTTGTGACATGCGCACCACATGCCCCAACCAACGTAATCTATGGAGGTTGACCACTCGCTCCAGTGGGCGACCGCAGTTGCCTAAAACTCTACGCCTAACCTCAGCATTGCTCGCCATCACGAGACTGCACCTTGACGTACCTGGATCTTCACTCAACAACACAATGTCGCCTGCACTTATCCAGAAATGCTTGCAACTTACCTGGATCGTCACTTAGTAGCACAATGTCGTCTGCGTACTCTAGATCAGACAGTCTGCCACCCGGAAGTAAATCGATACCGCTATCCTTGCACGAGGATAAGGTTATTTCAAGAATTAAATAAATCACGAAGTTAAACATAAATGGAAGGATAGGACAACCCTATTGAACACCACCTTCCGTGGTGAACTCCGGCGAAAAAGTGCCGTAAGCTCGGACTCGGCTTCGGCTATTGGTATAAAGCGATTGTTATATTGAAATAAACTCCTTGGCCGTATCCATTAGAGTTAGGCAGCGCCAGAGTTTAGAACAGTCGACTGAGTCGAAAGCCGCCTTCAGATCAAGGAAAATAGACATGGTGGGTCTACAAAAGGAGTGTCTGTGTTCTAGAATTTGACGAAGAGTGAAGATGTGGTCGATACAACCTCGACTAGGTTTGAAACCAGCCTGGTTCTCACGCGTACATCGTTCCACGTGTGGCAGACAATCGACGGAGTATGATACCGGCGAGAAGTTTATAGGCAATATTAATTAAACTAATTCCTCTGTGGTTTTCACAGGAAGATCTATCACCTTTCTTGTAAATCGGTATGATCACCGATTCACACCATTCTGTTGGAACCGCTTTCCTCTCCCACACTAAGCCCAGGAGTTTTGTTAACTCCAAAACCAAGGCTAGATCTCCATCCTTAAAAACCGATGGGGACAGCCCGTAGGAACCGGAAGTTTTATGCCTTCTGAGAAAACTTACTTTCCGGATAACCTCCACTTCAGATGGAGGACTGATGTCAACTGGCAGTATTTGCACAGCTGGACCGAGTGGGGGAAAGTTTCGTGTAGAAGGGGACCAGCTGAACTGTCTTAAAATGTTCTGCCCGATGTTCAAGACAGCGTTCCTGAATTTGAATCCGTGTGCCGTCGGACTCCTTAATTACCTCACGCCTACTTTCTTTGGTCCTGCACTCTTAATTAAACGAAAAAGATGGCGACTATTACCGATAGGCGCAACCATTTCCATCTCTCGACACTGTCCTACCAACCACTTCTCGCGGTCATTCCTCAGACTCTTGATGAGCTAACGCTCAGCGGATTTGCGCGCTTTGCCGTAGTTTGAATCCGAAAGAAAGACTTTGCGAGCGTCTAGCGGGCAACCGAAGTCGGGGAGATCCATCGTTTTTGCTTTGGTCGTGCGGC